CCAGGACTTTCTCATTCCGTTGAATTTTGAGTTCATTGTGGGGTTCATTGTTTTTCTTTTTTCTATTATTTCACAGATAGGTTTCAGTAATGGAATTCTACAGTCTCTCTTGCTAACGATTAGTTTAAGTGAAAAAGGTAATAATTGTACCTACTTATACAGTTCAATGGTAGGAATGTTTTTTGAAAAAGGCTTAAACCCAGAAGTCAAAGTGCGTGAAATACGTAGAAGAAAAGAGAGGGTTTAATAATATCTACTGTTTTCCGGCATATTCAGTTAGGTGTCTTTCTGAAGTAGCGAACTCATACCACGTACTTGCATTCAGGGAGTTTATATTTAAACTCCGGTCTATAGGCACTTCTCAACTTCTCTTTCTTTTTTAGTTATTCATGTATTTTGGGCGTTGAACAGTCTCGGGGACATTTCAATGCCGGTCATCTTCGGGTGATTTACTACTGGTTCAGGTTCTATTATACGGTTTTTATACCTGTCGGTTTTGTGGATATTCGTCACCGAAGAGAGGTGTGATATCAGGCGGTGAGCATCAAAATTACAGTACGGCATTGGTCTGTTATGCTTCACAAACAAATTGGCAGCAGTGGTACATCACCTGAAACGTTACCACAAACCGCAAACCACATAAACCATGTTGAAACTGCTCGGTGTTCTACGTAAGTACTGTCCGCCTCTACGCATATTCCAGCCAAAATGGTGATAGTCGAAGTAATCAAATTGACTACACGATGAGTCTCGAATATTAACGAATCCCATCTCAATGTTCTACAGCTACAATCCTGTGTAGTCAAACTTTTATTATCCATATATTATAGCTTGCAGGCTGTATTACACAAATGCAAATCACTAAGTGTACGGCACCAATTAATCAGGATATCCAAAAATTATGAAAACATGCCGACAGTTGCACTTCATGTCTTACTGACTCATTCGATGGTAGTATTCTGTTGATGCATACTTCATTTGTCATTTTGCATGGATTAGTTAGCAGTGATTCTGATTCCTGGTCGAAATGATTTTACAAACCCCCGGTTGCTGCCTAAGGCGATTCACTAATGCCTCTTTGCATGTTTAACAGGATACTAACTGCTGTGGTGAGCCTCCTGAAGATAATATTGCTGAAAACATTATTGCCGGTAAAACAAATAACGTTCTACAAGCCATTTTTACACTTTTGTGAATAGCCCACCGTGCCGACCACATGTAGGACAGCAACATGCATTTTTCGACAGCTCGAGAATTAAACATCAGCAAAAAGAGGGGTGTACAGATCTAAATTATAAATAAAAAAGTGCTTTTGCTCCTACTATCTACAAGCCTGTTCAGCTTCTTGTCGAGATGCTACCTATTGAGCCCCACAGAAATTCATGAGGCATCTTACAGGTCAGCTTGTTCTACGGCTTCCAATTTTCCAGACCATTGAATTCATTCCTCACTTAAATATCACTTACCTACCTCACAATAATCTTTTTATTTACGCACTATTATACTCTGTCTGATCTTAACTACCTGGGCCTTTATTAAAGCTAAACTTGCTCTTTGTTCGTACTTGTTGCTTGCCCAAAGTCTGGTTGCTTTGATTAAAAACACGACAACACCAGTAATTGAACAAAGCTATATCTTCATCCAAAACATCATATTTTCCATGCTTAAACCAATACGGTTAGCATTAAACATTGCAAATGTATACTATCATTTCAAGTACTATATAGCTTCTTCTTCTTGTATTTATCTTGTAAATATACTTCCAATAATGTATTATTCATAATTGCATTTTATACCATTTTGCGGCTGCACAGAATTTTCTTCTCTTCCTGAAATAGCGATCAGTCACGTGGCGGCATAGCACTGACCCAGATATAGGCTGTTCACTGGCTGACCATAACTATCAGCAGGAAACGGAACGAAGTTTGGATTGTCGCTCAACTTTAATGACGACCTTAGTAAAGGATTTACAACTTAAAATTTATAAGAACCTGTTCTAGTTGCTTGTACAATAACTGAACAACTCAAACTTTTGAAAAAGTATTAATTTATAGTACTTCAGGATTGTAATTTATAACATTACTGATCTTGCCTGCAAAAATGGCATGCATTTCTTGTAAACTTACCCGTTTATATGAAATATAAATTATTAATAATATTATTAATTGTATTAGAGATAAAAATACACGCTAGACAAAAATTCCATAAAGTTTTCTCACGACAATTAAGTAGCCACATACTAGAGTGTGGAAGAGGCCGTTACTGTTATCAGATCATAAAGTTCTCACTTTTTTGAAAGTCCTCCAATGCGTACACAGGTTGTTCCACGCATGTTGCTTCCACTCTAACTGATTAGATGCGAGGAACTTCCAAAAAAGGCTTCGCTAACGAAGTGCATTAATGCCACAACTTTTCACAATCAATTCACAAGAGACAGAACACCATTCTACATGAGTTAGAAATGCCAAAGGAGAAAGCAATATTCACATAAGCGCAAATCAATAAATGTCTTGATACACACACGAGATCGTAGTCGCTGAAGACCACTATAATGGCTAACCAGTTTCAAGAGAGTGTCAATGAAAAGAGAATTGAGTTCGTCTAAAAACGGCGAAACAACATGTGACTAGTCAAATGTTACATTTCTATTTATCACAGTTGCTTGCGAATCACACATAACACAACCATACAAAACCATACTTGAGAGCACCAACCTGCAGCAAGTCAAAAATCCAACTGACCGCTTCTGTTCTAGCCAATGAAAGACGAGAATACCAGAAGCGATGTAAATTTAAAATGCGATAGCATTTATCCCCACCGGAATTTATAGCCATGTAGTTTTACAGTATCTCATACTAATGATTAATTCAAGTGTATATCAGTTAAAAAGAGATGAGTGTTTTGGAATAATAGAGAAGATTTGTAGCAAGAGATGAGTGTCCACACCTCTATACCTCGATGGTAGGAATAGGTTCTGAAAAAGAATTTAAACCCAAAGATCAAGGTACATGAAATATGTGGAAGAAAAGTGGAATTTCGATAATATCTATACTGCTGTTCTGAAACATACAGTTAGTTGTCTTTCTGAAGTAGCGAATTCACACCATGTACTTGCTTTCAGAGGGTTAATAATTGGGTTCTGGCATTCAGGCAGTTGTTTTTGTAAAGGTCATTCGCAGTCAATATCTCTAGCGATAAGGCGCTCCTCCATAGATAAGGCTGGCTTTCATACGTACTCATTATCATATCCGTTGCGTAGCAGACATCACCCCCTCACCTTTTGGTGTGCATACCCAGGTGAAGTGCTTCTTTTTAATAGTGGAAAACCCTGGTATTCTCTACACTACATTATTTGTTTGTTAACAGGTCTACGGAAAAATATAGATTTTTGAGAGCCAAGCAACCAACTTATAAAGTACCTCAGAACTTGGAATACTCATCAAGATCAAATCTGAGATAGATTCAGTTTAACTTTGCCGAGTGGTAAAAAGAGAGGATAAATCATCATGTGAGGGATACTGATTATTGGGATTATTGTATTACCGTATTCAAGAAGTAATTTTTAATGAGATGCAGCACTCTGCAACCTCACATTCAGGTTGTGCATACTACACAACTTACTAAGCAGTATGAAGTTTATGTTGAAACATGGAATATTTGAACGAATTAAAGAGCCTTTAGATGACTGAAAAATGACGACTAGTCTACCAGCAGCTAGGAAGCAGCTCAAAGTCTTCACATATTTGGGGGCTATGGTGTAGACGCAGTCCCAAGACAAGCAGGTGCAGTTGTGGAGCATGCTAACCTTGTTTTGACAGTGCACAGGGCAACCATTATGTAACTTGAAAGGAATGAGTTTGGAAACTAGGGAACTAGAGAAAGACTAGGCTGCTTGACAGTCACTTTAACGCCAAGGCTAATTGTTACAGGCACCATGCGAATAATTCTCGAAAATACAGGCTTTTAGCCTTCAACCGAATCTAAATAAAAACAAATCAATGGAAATATACTCGACTGAATCCGAAAAGAAGTGAAGTGGATATGCATAAGGTTGGGGAGAAATGAAGTGTGAAATGGAAAATTTGATAAGCGTGAAATTTAAATGTAAGGTGTCAGATAAAGTAATCCATAACTGGAAGGGACCTTACGAGATCTCAACGATGTGATCCGATATAGTGCACAATAGAAGAAACGAAGCGGAACTGGCAATTAGCAGTGGGAAACACTGCAACGAGAGATGATAATAGCTAGATGCCCTCTGAAGTTGTGGAAACGACTTGGCAATGCAGTGTTTAGCGAGCTACCTATTATAATAGATTAAGATAGCAGTCATGTGGAGCTTACAGCAAAAGTAGTGGCGAATCATGTACAGATGGAAGAATTTCGTTTCGCGATAATAATACTAGATGGAACAAAGTAGTAAATAGGCAATCAATAAGCTGAAGTGTACTACTACTGCAGATTCATTTGAATGAAGTCCTTTTGATAGGCTCAGTCGGAATGTGAAAGTATAATTAAGGGGAAGCTTTCCAGTTTATGTCCGATTTAACTACAAGCCCGGCAGGTGATAGCTCTACTCCTCAGGATTTTCTGGGTCACCATCGTACAGTTGCTCCCACGTCAAGGACTCGGATAGAGTATCGCAGGGATTTACATCTGATTTACGCAGAAGTTCCGAGGGACACTACGGCAGACACACCCAGCTGCCTCAGAGATTTCGCATAAGGAATTATCCGCAGCTGATTTGGCTGTGGCTACGTCAGGTGGTAGCTTAAAGAGTAGGTTAGACCAAAGCGCGAAATGGAAGGCCTGTGGAAGCACTGTGGTTATGGATGATTGCAATGTGCTTTTTCCACATGTTTGCTTCAAATACGCCAGTGTCACTTGTTCTTATTCTGTGTTCTTCCTATAGTTTCACATGGCTTTTCTGAAACATACCAAACACCACCGTCAAATTTAGTCGGCAATCTTGCTCTTATTGCGTTCTTCAGTTGACAGGATAGACTTTCTGCACAGGAACATATCACATATCTAAAACCGTTTTGTATTATCAAGAGGCATGCATAAAGAAGTTTATAGGCTAAAACAAGTTACCAGCAAGCATATTGGGAATTGGATGTGGGATTAGTAGAGCGCAATTGTTGTTTTGAGACGACACCTTAATAATTCAACATGGATGAGAAGATTCAGCATAAAATGGAGGTTGATTATTCCAGCACTGTCGATGACTTGCTTGTAACTGTGAAGTCTTTATCACTGGTAAGCTATAATTCCTGATGTTCATAAGCTATATATATATATATATATATATTGGTGGATGTACATTAAAATTTACCCAATTTATAGGCTGGTAATTTCGAGTCTGCCCTTGAACAGTGCATTTCTCTTGAGAAACAAACAAGAATGGTAGTTTGATTAGAATAACCGACTTTATTATAGGCTTCCGATGCAATATCCACTGGTCGACTCCTGGAGGCTATCGTGGAAATATTGGGTGACAGTTTACAGTGGTCCAGACTCAATGAACATCTTATCCTAATGACTAAAAAACATGGCCAAATGAAACAAGCCGTTTCTAAAATGGTTCAGAAGGCTATGGAGTATCTAGAAAAAACACCGGACGAGAAAACTAAACTTGAGTTGATAGAAGCTCTCCGAACTGTTACAGAAGGAAAGGTTAGATAGTTTTGGTGTCGAATTTTTCGCAGATATATGTCGAAACCGAGAGAGCACGCTTGACCAAAGAGTTAGCACGGATCAAAGAGTCCCATGGTGATATTGATGGGGCGGCCACAGTGCTACAGGACCTTCAAGTAAGCTGTTTTATTATGTGACATGTTAGGTTGAAACATTTGGTTCGATGGAAAAAAGAGAAAAAGTTGAATTCATGCTGGAACAAATGAGACTTTGTTTAGCCAAAAAGGACTTCATTCGTACTCAAATCATCAGCAGGAAAATATCAACCAAGTTCTTTGCTGATGTCGAAAACGAAGATTTGAAGTTGAAGTATTACCAGTTAATGGTCAATTTAAATGCCCATGACTGTCTTTACCTAAACATAAGCAAAAACTACTGGGAAATTTATAACTCCAAAAGCATACAAGAGGATGATGCAAAGCGACTACAAGTATTTGGAAGTTATAAATAATAATTCCTTAGATACTTAGGCATGTGATTGTATATTTATTACTGTCGCCTTATGACAACGAGCAGCATGATTTGATGTGCCGTAGAAAATTGGTGAAAGATATGGAAAAAATTCAAAACTACCTGTAAGTTCACTGTTGATCTTGATACAAATATTTCGGGATTTATATTGTGCATACTCTGGGTTTTGTGTTACTCTTGTCGTCCTATAATAGTTTGGTTATTCAACTGGCATTAAGCGTAAGCTAGTAGTAATAACTAGCTTTCCAGATATGTTAAGATCAGATTTCGTTCCACAAAGACTGTACATGTTTACTGAAGAGGCTTTTAGAAGTAAAAACAAAAAGGGAGAGGTGTTTTAACTACATAACACCCATGAGGGATCTAGTGATGCACCACTTCGGGTGGCTGTAACAAGTCATACCGCATAGGGGTTGGTTGGATCGTTTATTGAAATCTTTCCTCAGTTACATTTGCGTAATTTTAGTGACCATGTAAAGATTTTAGCTTTTTAACAGTGAAACAAATAAGACATTTCCATATAACACTAACTTTTATAGGATTCTTGAACTTCATCTCTGTTAATGGGATAAACTTCTAAAAACTAGGTGAGCCGACATCATTGTGTTTTGGAACTTTTGGCTGAACTTAACCACAAGTGTTGTTGCGTTTGCTTTAGTATTATGCTCCAGTGCTCTGCCAAATTAGAAATAACTGTTGGACAGCATATGCATTATAATTTAAACGTGGTTCTCGTCGGTAAGCTTGTTAATATACATAACTTGTATAAAAGACTAATAAGTTGAACTAATTATATTAATAATCATAGGGGATGTTGACGAATGGTGAGTATACCTGCCATGTTTTTGATTAGACGTGAGTACTTCTTGGTCTTCCTTCCTGATTTTAAACCCTTGACTTCTAGCTAGTTTCCTGAGTTTGAGCTGCACCTCACTCGTCTGAGACTGGTTAGATGAACTTTGCCCAAAGTACAGCAATTCAAGTTACCACACTTCATGAAGCACACTAATGTAGAAAAATAAATTCATAGAAACTAAAATGAGAAATACATGGAAGAGAGAATAAGTACATGGAGAATAATGGGGATTTGATAAATCTGGTAGTTTCTAAAGAGTGAATGCATCTGAGCCATTGACAATTATAAGCCATGTCACCAGTCATTCATCCTAAGCGCCCTGAGGACGACGGCAAGTCAGGGGCATTCCTACCTGGCTGACTAAAACCAATAGTCAAAGACTTTGTGGATTGATGTCAGGCTTTGATTTTACCAGCCAAAATACTTTTCCACCCTAATCCTATGTCAGCTAACATTGGCCATCGTATAAGACACTGGCTAGACATTTGCAACACGTCCTAGTCATCTCAATCAATGTGACTTCATCACTAATTAATCTACTTACTTGCCCTTCATACCTACCCTCTCCACGTCTAACCTCAATATTACTCAACATATACCACTTAACAGGTGAGGTCGTTAACCCAGTCGACAGTTCGCCACTATCACTCTTCAATACCTCTGAAGGCATAACTTTAGGTCCCTCTCCTCAACTCGTTTCAGATTAGAAACACCTTTTAAAACCTCAGTTACATTCGTACGATTGGTGTTTACATCCCATTCAGGTAAGTGTTGTATGCTAGGTGGTATGTTGGTTAAATTGCTCTTGAGTATTTCAGGTAAACAGATTGCTGTTCTTCTCGGGAATCCTTTCAATTATTTCCCATTTCCCTAGTGAGTCTACATAGTTGTCTGGTGTCACCTACCTTCTATGCATTTTCCATCTCATCCGCTTGTTTTGCCTACCACTGTTCACAGTTATTACGGAGATTTTTATTCTGCTTGAAAAGCTTTCGCTTCTCATGGGCCTGCCGGAATCAACGTCTATCAGTTGGGGTGAAGTGACAGCAGAAATCCACTGACATTTACTAACCTTTGGTTTCACGTTGTCAACAGGACGGATATTACTGTCACTCGAATTTGCGTCTAGTTATTGCTTTCCTAAAAATTGTATTCCTTTCAAGTTAGAGTCATAGCGGCTTCGTAGTATCGTCAGTCGTCACAGTAATGATCACAAACCATTCCTATGCAGTCAAGCGGGTTGAGTGTTTCTCTCTCTCTCTCTGCCACAGTTGTTCACATTTGTCATTATTCGAAGACTCATCCTCGGTTAACAGGCATTTCGGCAAATCAAAGTTTAGCGGTCTCAAAACACTGTCTTCCTTTGATCACGGTGTTTTGTTGTGGACTTGCAAGTACTCCGATTTCTTTAGTCAAAGGTCAAAAAGGGGAGATCAGTATTCTCAGATAGTAGATGGGTATGCAGTTTTTTATTACTTCAGAAAGAAATGATTATAACGTTGAAATCTTCGCTTCCACCCATTCATCGGTTTTAATTTTGGTATCAGTAAGCAAGAGCCGTTAAATTCTGAAGTCTTAGTAAAAATGTGAAATACGATAACATACATTTTTTTTCCTTCACGTTCCCCAGTGGAACATAGGGCTTCAAGCTAGAGGCTTGAAGTTTCTGTAGCATTGCTTGTTTTTACAGGATGGGGTTGCTAGCCTCATGCCCAACCTTTCCTCTTTACCAGCATTATTTCTAGCTTAGCGAGGTAAAGGAGTGCGTCGGCCGGGGATCGAACCCCGGACCATGCGCATGGTTGGCGAGCGTCCTAACCGCTATACCACCGACGCACAACATACATTTACTAGTGTCTTTTTTCTTCACTATCGTACGAACGCAATAAGGTATTTTTCAAACATTCTAATTAAGTAAAATCATTATATAAGTAGTCTTCTAACTTAAAACTCCATTTGACGTGGATTGGAGTAGTCGTTAATGTTATTATATTATTATTGTTTCCTTTAATTCCTAGAGGAACATAGGGCTTCAGCCGTGCGTCTCCATTGCGTTCGGTTCTCTGCTAGAGTCTTCACCTGGCTCCAAGCCTGCCCGCATGCTTTCATCTCCTCTTCACATGACCTCCTCGAAGTTACCCTTGGACGACCAACTCGCCGCTTCCCTTTCGAGTTCCACTCGAGCAATGGCTTGTCTAGTGATGTCACTTGATGGTTTCTTTTCTCAGAGTATGGCCAATCCATCCATCTCCATTTCTTCCTGCCTATTTGTTTCACAATCGGTTCCTGGTTGGTTCGCTCCCAGAGATCCCTGTTGCTGATCTTTTTTGGCTGGCCATCTGATCTTGAGTATTGAGCGAAGGCAGCTGTTGATGAAGGTCTGTAGTTTGTTTGAGATGCTCTTTATGACGCGCTGGCCAAGTCTCTGATCCGTATAGTGAGTAGCACTGACTTCACATTGGAGTTGAAAACCCGGATCTTGTTTTTCATGCTGAGTGCTGTTGACCTCCACACAGACTTGAGAGTAGTGAAAGCTTGTCTTGCTTTTCCGATTCTTGCTCTGATATCCTCGTCAGTTCCGTCCACCTGTAGTTGAAACGATGCTTCCCAGGTAGGTAAAAGAGGTTGTTTCTTTCAGGTTCCTTCTATTTATGCTGATTGTTGTCTGTTGTTGTTGTTCTTGTCCAGGAATCTTCATCACCTCTGTTTTCTCTATGTTCACCTGAAGTCCTATCTTTGATGCTTCTTCTGTCAACTTGTTGCTTTTCGCTTGCATATCTTCCAGTTTGTGGGAAATCAGACATATATCATCGTCGAAGTCCAGTTACTCCAAGTTTTTTATGTGAGTCTATTTTATGCCTGTCTCCTCGTTGCCCGTCGTCTGTCTGTCTCATTATACAGTCTACTGCAATCAGGAAAATCATTGGCGATAGTAGGCAGCCAGCTTGTCTTACTTCTATCCTCACTTTGAAGGATTCCGTAAGTTTCCCATTGTGGATTACTTGGCATGCAGCATTGTCGTACAGCTGTTGGATTAGATGTATAATTGTCGGTGGCACCCCGTAGTAGCACCTCTTGATCGACGCTGTCGAATGCCTTTTCAAAGTCGATGAAGTTGAGATAGAGAGGTGACTGCCATTCCAAGCTTGTCGTTAATGTTATTCTACTTTATAATATTCGTATGCTGAATTACTATTTCGAATTTCGTTTTTACACTTTTTGCCTCCTCCAGTGATATGCTCACAGCATTTACTACTCAAGAATTGTTAAGGTGGGATGAATTTTGTATTCGGTATGAATCTGTCTTACGTACAGAAACTGACATATTTTCCAATAAAGTTGATCCATTGGAGTCTGAAAAACGTTGGCGTGACTTACACCTACGAGTGGTTGAACATAACATTCGTGTAATATCTGGTTATTATACTAAAATTCGTCTTCATCGCCTAGCACAGTTATTGGACTTGGACATTGATGTAAGTATTTGCTAACGATTCATACCTCTATTAGTAACCTTTGTTACTATTTTACGTATAGTGTACACTAGTGCTCACTGTTTAATGGTCATATTTCATGTTATTTCATTCTTTAAAAAAAATAACACCATGGCTTAAATATCTAATGTGAACTCGTAATACTAAATTCGGTTTCATCTCCAGTAACTTTTTAGTTTCTAAAATGTCCATATATCCCTCATTGATGTGTGAGGTGTAAAAAAAGTGTAAAGTTACTGAAAATCTGTCAATTCCGAAACTTTCGATCTCCTCTGTGAAGGTATTACTGCATGTAAATTGTTGAATACCAACTGTCCACTTCTGTTACTAGGCCTTTTTAGTTGTAACTCTATTATGGATAAGATTTTATTTTGATGAAGTCACACAGTGTTATACATTAATATTAATTGATCAGCACGTTTCGAGCACAAACTATTGCCACTAATAATCATATGAAGTCACTACTCACATAACTTTTTACTTCATTTATATACATGAGTGGAATTGATGATTAGATATTTGAATAAAAATCAATATGGGATAATGTACATTCAGAAATAATAATATGAGTGTTACTGATCAAATACAATCAGAGGGGAAATAAGACGAGTGTTTTTATAGTCAAAATAAGTAACTCGTTAGAATGTTATGATGTACGTGAAATGAAATAGAATTTTAAGATTATTGATTATCCTCCTCTGATTTGACTGGTGGTAATAATATGAGTCTTATTCCCCATCTGATTGTAATTGATCATTAACACTCATATTATTAATTATGAATGTGCATTATCCCATATTGATTTTTATTCAAATGTCTAATCATCAATTCCACTCATGTATATAAATGAAGGAAAAAGTTGTGAGAGTAGTGACTTCATATGATTATTAGTGGCAATAGTTTGTGCTCGAAACGCAGTCATCAGTAAATATAACTGTACAACACTGTGTGATATATCAAAAGTGAAATCTTATCCATAATGGAATTATACTCTATCACCAAAGTCCCTAAGTTATGTATTTTTTAGTTGTAGTTGGAAGTAAATAAGTCACGTGTTCAAACACTTCCGCTTACGAGGGTTACCCTGCAAAAATGTGGTTGCTGAGTTTGCGTTTATATATACATATATATATATATATATATATATAAAGCCTAATCAACAACCCACGGGAAAATTTATGGGTGAGTGACTGATAGTGGAGCTGTGGCTCATACGTTTAGTTGCTCGACTTCCAACCAATGGGTCACAGACTTAAAATCCGCTCCATCTACAGATATTTAAATTTCTAAATAATATCACTGGCCGTCACACAACAGGTGTGCCTCACTGCAAACTGCATGGAAATGAATGTTAGTTGTTGATTGAGTGACAATTGTCTTCTTAAGCGACTGGGCGAATCGGTAATGTAGGACTTAGAACTGTAGTGCAACAGTTCAGGTTAGGGAACGTGGAATATTTGTAATAAAATAAAAAAGATTGGTAACATTGGACACCACTGGTTGTGATCACTTCAGCTGAAAACTCCCCGTAGGCTGTCGTACTACTGTGTAGTTCCAGTCACATCACGGTATACGCCTTTTGTGCTGACTGACTGAACACAAGGGCTTCGTGTGCTTTTAGAAGTGTGTGGGCGGCTGTTACTTCCCGGCTGCCCACACTGTAGAAGTTGGCTTTTCCTTGGAATACCTAAAACAAGAAGAGAATAAGTGTTGCGTGACCGCAGAGCCCAGAAGACAACTACTTGAAGTTGGCCACACAAGGTCTGTCTGAACTGGCTTTTTGGCTTGATTCCTCATTAATAACTTGCCACCAGCTACAGACCACCGTACGGTGAGTCAGGATGTACGATTTTCGAGTGTGACCTTTTCTAACCCGCTCTCTCCAGATTGTAGAGACAGCATAGCTGGCTGGCATGCTGATCATCTGAAGGAAACACCTTACTGTTGTTACATCTCTGTTCCCCATCAGTATCGCTTTGTCCACAGACTCCCAGCATATTGTAAAAAGATCTTACACTATGCCGTTAACTGCTTTTAATCTAATTGCTATCCTCTAACAATCTTCCTGGCATAGTAGGACCTGCAGGAACATTAGTTCCAGCCGGTGTAGCTTGTTGGGCCATTGCGATATGGAAGCCCGACCACGACGTCAAGGTAGTGGTTATCAGTTGGGCGCGTTTCTCATAACACTTTTAGGTCGAACAAATTAGATGGCGTCGTCAAGACATGAAGCGTGGCAAACGTCGGACACCGTGAATTGGAAGTACGACGTAACTTATTTTCCCGATTTCCTCCTAATTTTCATATGCATCTGTGGTTATCACAGGGAGATTTATTATATTTTTATAGACTGGGTTGGTCAAGAATATGGTCCACTGTGATGCCAGATTATTCTTTGTTAGTGACTGATGTCACAATTGTGAAACACATGAAGCCAAGCACCACATATTGCCCATTTGTCTCATTTTAGACTACAGGTGGCGTTTGTATTTTCACATAGATTCGGATCAGCAGAGTCTAAATCCATTTTAGGCTGATTTTGCATAGCGGGCGACAATAAGGTGATTTATAAGTCTGCATAGTATCTTACTCAATGTTTTAGCCGTTAGTTTATGTTTGAATAGCTTTCACTCATCATGTTTTTGGTTCGTTGAAATCAATCTCAGTTTGAATCAGACGACCGGTATTTATTAATCTCAAGCTACAAATCATCAGCTATTCCTGCCGCTGTACAGGAGGCTAGATTATCGTGTGAAAATTCTTTAAGATGAATATTATTGTCTTTTTCAGTTGTGTTTGGTTAATTCTCTCCATCGATATGGTAAGTTTGAGGTTAAGCATAGAGTGTCAGTTAGAAAGGGGAAGTATATTACTGTCTGTTTTCGACATAGAACTTTGCACCGATGTGCAGCAGTTCAAGTCACCACACTCCCTCTATGTAGCACACAAAGCAAGAGAAGAAAGTAGAAGAAATGCATATTAGAGACAGTAAACAGAGGTGTGAGACAAAGGTATAGTAATAACGAAGAACAAAACAGTTTCATTGGAAATCATAAGTCATAAGGAGTGGATGCATCAGCGCCATCACTGAGAACGATGTTGAGCCATATCACCAATTATTTCCAGCCATTGGTTTTTACCGTCCCGAGGACCCCAACCAGGAAGTCTACACCTTCCTACGTGGCTTAAACTAACTGTTGTGGATTTCATTGACTGATGAGGCCATGTTTTGGTTTGACCGCCGCCAGCTCTTTTCCAGCCTGACCCTGTATCAGCTAACATTGCCAGTCGAGGAAGGAGATGGATAGGCATGCATGCGTAACACTTGTCCTAACCATCTCAGTCGATGTAACCTCACAGCCTCGTCTATTGATTTCCCCCCCCTCCTTACCTAGCATTCTTTATTTTATTTTTTTTTTATTATTTTGGTTACAGCTTGATGCCACACCGTATTTTCAGTACAAGTATGGCATTTTCAGAATGGATATCGGTAGCCCAAATTCAGGCCGACCATAGATATCGGGTGTGCGCCGACAGGGGATCGAACCCCGGACCATGTGCATGGTCGGCGAGAGTCCTAACCACTGTGCCACCGGCGCCTAACCTCAATATTGCTCACCTTATTATACCACTTCACACGGGAGATAGAACGCAGGCACCTATGATCAAAGACAGCTAATCTTTTCATGTCTTCCACTCTCAATGGCCAGGTCTCACAGCCATAAAGGAGGACATAGCGGACTGCTGAGCAGTACACCCGCCCTTTGGTCGATAGCCAGATATCGCGTTTACTCCAGAGACGGCGTAAACTAGCATATGCGAATATATATATATATATATATATATATATATGTACGTTAATTATTTCTTGTGATTTCGCGAATGAAGATCATTTTAACCATCGGATTTTATATAGTACTCAATATCTTCTTTTCTTCTTTTTATACAATTTATTTTGTTTATCTCTCTTTATCTCTCTCTACATCTTGTATTTTCTGTTTTAGAAAGCAGAAGAGTACTTGTCGAATTTAGTTGTGAGTAAGACAGTCTACGCGAAAATTGATCGACTTGAAGGTGTTGTACATTTCACGTCAAAAAAGATGCCCACAGAAGTTTTAAACGATTGGTCTTACAATACTCGGAACCTAATGGCACTGATTAATCAAACAACACATCTCATCAATAAAGAACGTATGATTCACGGTGTATAAAAATATATATATATATATGTATATAAATTATTGTTGCACTACTCAAGAATAAATTCTTACTTGATAGAAATAGTTATTTTTTTGCATTATACAATTTCGTGCATATTCTCAAATGGAGTCCTCCTTCTTTTCGATATAGAGTACAGCACAAGTAATGATAGTCGGCCTATGCCTTTTTTTATTCCTTTACGTTCCCAGTGGAACATAGGGCTGATTCAAGCTAGAGGCTTGAAGTTTCGGTAGCAATGGTGTTTTATTTTTAAGGGATGAGGTTGCTAGCCTCATGCCCAATCTTCCCTCTTTACCAGTCTTATTACTAGCTTGGTGAGGTAAAGGAGTGCATCGGTGGCCGGGGATCGAACCCCGAACCACATGGGGCGTGGTCGGCGAGCATTCTACCGCTGTGCCACCGACTTACCGACGATGCCTTAGATCACATAGAAGTACACTTTTAGGTGGCATGTTAGCGTGTAAGAATCTGACAATTTTCATTTCTGTTTAAAGTTATAATCCATGTGTAAAGTAGGAGGAATACATAACCCCATACCCGGCCGACTAGGCATAACTACTGCTGCTGACAGGTAATTTTCAAGAAGTTGCCTAGCATACTTTATTCGACTGGTTGATGCAGTTTACTGTTGTCATGGTGACAATGGAAAACTACAGGAAGGGCTATGTCTGATAGTGCTCAGGTGGTTGATTGTGATGTTGATGTTTTCTAAAGAGATAGGTGGTTTAATTGTGAAGCTTTCGTTGTCCTTTGTAGACAGTATCTTCAGCGCAAACTTCGATATAAAGTGAACCTATTTGAATTCCCCATGAATGATATAATAATTATAATAATAATGGTCTTTGTTTCAGAAACAATACTTACAATGCAGCCTTGAACTTTCAGCATTTGTCATAATGTTGTGTCTACTTTACTCAGAATATAAATAAAATTAACCACATGAAAGTTTCGACATTTACAGTATGAATAATGTCAAAAATGCGCAAAGTATAAAATGAGAATAATAACTATGATAATAACATTAGTAATAGTAATAATAACAGCAGGTTTGTTTCAAGCAGTATCTTCGATACAATATGGAAATCTTAGCATGTTATTGAATATTGAATCTAGTATTCTCTTGACGCAGCATGGTGAGAGGAAAAACAGAAGAACCTGGATTCTCCGTGCATTTCCTTAAAAGTTTCCGTTTAAAAGGCGGCAAAGTAATCTCTCAAGCCAGACACCTGTTGGAAATTAGTCAGGCTTTCAAAATAATCCATGCACAAAGAAAAGCACAGTTACTTTGGTTCGCAGAAACCATTAGCATCAAAAGACCTATGCACTACCATTTGGTATATCCCGACTTACCCTACAGTGGCAAGTTATTATTGCGGAACCAAACCAAAAAGCCAGTTCAGATAGGCCATGTGTGGCCGGCTTCAAATAGTTGTCTCCTGGGCTCTGCAGTCACCCTTCTTGTTTTAGGTACCCCAAGGAAAAGCCAACTTCCAAAGTGTGGGCAGCCGGGAAGTAACAGCCACCCACACACACACTTCTAAAAGCACACGAAGCCCTCTTAGTCATCACTCTCTTTTATCTGCGTCACACTCATCATCCTGTCTCCCTCCTGCTGTTAATACTATTCAGCAGGCCGATCAGTCATCTTCCTCTCACTATGTGACCATAGGTAGCGACGAGAGTCAGAAAAACATTCCCGATAGTCTCTTAAAGCCATGCCGCCAACTTCATATTGGCTCATCCAACGTCAGAACAACAGGCCAAATCGGATAATAGACGTCACTAGCCAGAATTCTGGCATCTCGAGCCATGGATGTGTGTTTTGTTTTGGAGACACGCATACAAGACCCGAGTGTGGTCATTTACTCAACCCAACTCCACTCGGTCAACAAGGTGAATCTATGAAATTCACTTTAAGGGTGTCAGGAGACCCCTCAGCTAGTCCGCTAGGACTCGCAGGTGTATGGAGAGCATTGAGTGTTAGGGTAGAAAAATCCCTTCTTGATTAGATCCCAGTAGATAGTCATATGTGTGCGGTTCGTCTGAACGGGTCCGTTAGAAGAAGGAAGGATGGCGTTACCCGTCGTTGTCTTTTCGTAGTCTCCACTAATGCCCCAACAGACTGTAGTTCGGGTGAACTAAAGGATGATTTCTACCTGAAACTGTCTAATTTGCTGCTAAAAGCAAAACATTCAGATATAGTTGTTTTAGCAGGCGACTTCAATGCCCAAGTAGGGAAGTTATGCCAGACTCAGAAGTAAATAGGTGGTACGTACGGAGTTCCTTGCCGACAATGGTGATCATCTTCTACAGTTCTTTTCAGATAATCTGTTTCTAGTCGGTACTAACTTAAGGCACAAAGAGACACATTGTTACCTCCCGACCTCCATCACCAAGTCAACGCTGGACTCAGATAGACCACATAACGATAGGGTCAGTAGAAGACTGCCGATCCTTCTGAAACACGTGCGCAGACTCCGACCACACTCTGGTTCGTGCACGTTTATGTTTACAATTTAACGGACATAAGAAATTGCTGGTAACGAAGCAGTTACGTCCCCAACTAGATTGCTACTCTGACTCCCTATTTAAGGAGGAAATAGCCAAACGAGTATCTGAGGTCGACAGCAGTACTCCTCCTGACGCAGCCTAGCACAATATACAGTTAGCTGTTAATAACCTGAAACCTAATGTTAGTAAGAGCCATTGGATCTATACCACCCCATCTGAACTGATTGACGCAAGAAGACTGATTCTAGCGAGCTCCGATTATGATGAGGAACGAAAGCTACTCAAACGAAAACTAACAAAAGGCCTCCGTTACGACCGTGAACACTGGTGGGCGACAAAAGCGAAGGAGATGGAAAAGGCATCGGCGATTGGTAACACCAGACAATTATTTAGACTTCTCAGGGTAGTAGGTGGTAAAGGGCAATGATAGGTGAAACAATCTCTGAGAAAAATGGTACCATAATTAGCTTCCCGGATAGACGTTTTGGAAGGAACACTTTGAGGAGCAACTTAACTGGTCTACAGACAAGCTCAACTTACCCAGCATCCGACAGCTCCAAGAATGGGATATAAACACAGGTCCTCCTTACTAGGCAACATATTCAGCGCATATTTCAAACTGAAACAGATCCTCCATCCCTGACATGGTTTGTTAAAGCTAACTGTAATCTGAAACGGGAAAGGCAGCGGGACCTGGTTGAATGACTCCAGAGATATTTAAGGACGGTGGAGACAATTTACTGCCTGGGCTAACTAAGGTGTTAGACAGCGTCTGGGAATCAGAGGTAGTCCCGTTGCACTAGTGCAAATCATTGATTATCCCGATAAACAAGAAGGGAGACAAGTCCTCCTGTGTTGATAATATAGGGATTAAAGTGACTAATATGGTTTCTAAAGTTTTAGGCTCAATAATAGTGCGTAGATTAAGGGGTGCTCGGAAGAAACAAACACAAGAGAACCAGGCAGAGTTTAGACCAGGAAGAGGGTGTATTGATCATATCTTCACCCTTTGACAGATTCTGGAACACAGGCACACTTACGGTGTTCAACATTTCTTGACCTAAGGGCGGTACTGAATTCCGTCGACTGAGAGGTACTCTGCGATGCTTGGCTGTAAAGCGAATGCCGAGAAAATACATTGCACTGATCAAGGCACTCTACTCAAACTCATACAGCCAGGTGAGAGCCTACGGAGAGTTGTCATGTGAAGTGGTGACAACTAGTGGTGTCCGTCAGGAAAGCCCACTGTCCGATTTTTTGTTTAATTTCATCATAGATGTACTAATGGACTTAACCCTAACTGACTTCACAGACTCAGAGATTGACTTGTTACCACCAGGGAATAATCTCGTTGACTTAGAATATGTGGATGAAATAGTCCTCCTAGTTGAAGACGCTGACTTAAAAATAGGGATGAGTGAAGTGATACAGACTGTTTTTGATGGTTTCATTTATTTGAGAAGTTGAATCAGCCCCAGAGTGTTGATCGCTGACGAAATCTCAGCACGTATACAGAAGGCTCGTTTGGCTTATGCCAAATTACGCTATCTCTAGCCTTGATGCGATATCCAACTGTCGACCAAATGACATGTCTACTGCTCAGCACTTCGCTCCATCCAACTTTATGGTTGTGGGACATGGTCATTAAAAGTGAAAGATATGAAAAGGCTGTATAGCTCTCTTTGATCATAGGTGCCTGCATCCTATCTCCCGTGTTGGATGGCATAAGAGGATGAGTAATGTTGAGGTGAGCCATCGGTCAAGTGGTAGGTAAGGGGAGAGAATCAATCGACGAAGTGGTGAAGCAGCTGCATCGACTGAGATGGTTAAGGCATGTGTGATGCATGCTAGTCTAGCAATCTCCTCCATCGTCAACAGGCGATGTTAGCTGACATAGGATGGATCAGGTTGGAAAAGAGTTAGCTAGTGGTGGTCAAACGAAAACATGGCTCCAGCAGTCGATGAAATCCGTAACAGTTTGTTTGAGCCAGCCAGTTGGTCAGTCGCATAGGAAGGTGAGGACTGTCTGCCTACCTGGTTGGGTTGCTCGGTGTGATGGTAAGAACCAATGACGACTGGAGACTATTGGCAGTGATATGGCTCAGAAGCATTGTTCTCCATGGACGGTGCAGATGCATTCACTCTTTGTGATTTGTCATATCATTCAATAAAACTCCATTGCTCTTCTTTACTACTATTGTTTTTCCTTCACTCACACTTCTGTTTACTGTCTCTCTCTCTCTTTTGAACCTGTTCTCTTGCTTTGTGTGGTACATGGAGTGTGTGGCAACTCGAACTGCTGCACTTCTGTACGAAGTCCTATGGTGAAGCCGGTCAAGCAGTCAGTGGATATGAAAATTAATTGTAGCATTCTGCTTTAGAACAAGACATATAAGCGAACAATATTGTTTTCAATTATATCTTCTTCAGGCTTTACTCTAATTTACATAGATTTATACACAAAAATTCTAACCAATGGCGGTGATTTTGTCGATCAAATAATAATACTGATGTGGTAAATGTTTTGGACGTCATGGATAACGATGGTT